GTGTCGAGTCAGAAATAAGAGAGTGTGTCCAAGATTCAGTGACACAGAGCCCTCTGTGGCCAACAAGATGATTTTCACGGGCAGTTACGGAAAAATGAAAATGGAAGATATTCAGAGAAACAGAGTCAGCAGCACAATTCAAGTAATTCCTTCGCCAACAAAATCCAGTCAAAAATGATCCGTCGGGTAAGAAAGAACTATACATCCAGAATCATTAAGCAGGCTGAAAATAAGGCGAAGAGTATTCTAGTATATGAATAGCCCGATGAAAAACAGGGACGCAGTGACAGTACATTAGGATGATAACAGTGTAAAAGGTCATGGACACCTACGAGAAAACTAAACACTTGCGCCCCTTCTTTGCCTTGGTATTTATTAGGAAATCTGACTTTCGGCCCCCAAATGTCGACTGTGCTGTCGCAAACGCCGGTCTCATAATTGAGTTAAAAAATTATTGGCCTCTTTCGTGGAAATAGTACAATAGAATTTCAAAGGGCCAATGACATCGTGCCCGGAAGATAATCTGACTAAGTTGTTTAAAAATTGGTGAACGAACTCTCGACGACACTAGTGTATATCTTCCATTGGTAACTAAAATTAGGGAGACTGCCACCAGATTTGAAGTCAATAAATATTTATCCCATACACAAGGGTCAGACTCGAATGATGCTAAAACACTACCAGCTAGTCAGCTCCACATATATTTGCTGTAAAACGGTAAAGTGAAGGAAATACGTTGGTTGGGAAAAACAAAGTAGCTTAATTCAGTAAACTTTCGACGCTGGTTTCCCATGTTAGCTTTAAAATTGAGTCAATGTGCAAAAAGGTTGGAATATCCAACTTGCTGAGAAAAAACAATAGTTATATTGTGTTGACGCTGATAAGCTGCTGCCGTTAGCGGTAAGCTGTATCAATCAGCCGTAGTCTTCCATTTCTCCTTGAGATTCCCATACGTGGTGTCTAACTCACGAGGTCAAATCAAGTCAAGTTTATTAAAGGAATTATAGGCAAACGCCTTTGAACTCCCTCTGAGACACATGAATTTTCGGAATGCATATTTTCAAGCAGCTCTTCACAATTTTTGGAGAGGCAAGCTCCAAAGATTCAATTTTCGCGCCGTATGAAAGCGCGGTGTACCGAGGACGTGCATGACCGCTTAGGACAAATGATCGCACTTCTGAACTGCCAGTTTATGTTAATAGATATGTGGGGAGGTTGCCTTTTCCCCTCAGTTTTTGACATAACAAGCTATGCATGGGATCTTGTTGACGAGTTCCTTCTTGTCGAGATGGGCACTCCTATCCTTAGGGTATAAACGGTGGGTGCGTAAGGTAGTTTTCCGTTTGTGCGCCACAATTTGGCATTTCCACAAGTGTCTTTTAATGAGTTCAGGCACATTTCTAATATAGGAAAGGGTTCCCCATGTTTTTAATTTGAGTGCCTGAGTGCAACAATCGAGTGCCTTTATTGACTCTTGCTGCTTCATGCATTGACATACAAAGTGTCTAGCGCAACCATTTTGGGAAAATAATTCAAACAAGTAATTTAGCCCGATGTGGTAGCTTTCTTCGTCAGAGCAGTGCGTTTTTGCTCGATGTAGCAAGCCGCCGACAGTGCTCCTCTTGGTAGCAAGGAAATATCAGGGTTGTGAACTTTGGACAACCTGTAGATCTTGGCGGTGTTCGCTTCGAATTGTCTCAGCGATTTTGCATTATCTCCAAACATTTGTTTCCCCCCTGTAAGAAGCTTCAAGAATAAACATTTAAACTCTATGAGAACAAAAACTCAACTCTCCTGAGAGGAGCATCATCAACAACAGTTGTCCTGCCACACCTTACCTGTCGAGAATGATTTACTATTTTAATGAATGAAAAACTAATTTAGCTGACCTTTCATCTTGGCCCGCGCGAAAAGAACTTGGTGAAATGGGGACTCTGTTTCGAAGTGAAGAGATGCAACTTTCACAGTTGTTTCTGCAAATAGATTCAGCGTATATGTGTTTAGCGGAGCTAGGAGAATTAGGAATTGTGCAGTTTCGTGATGTACGTCCAATCTAGGTCCATAACAATTGTGATTAACAGATGATGTCTTCGACGAGCGCCTTTCAAAGGAAGTTTGTCAATGAAGTTCGAAGGTGTGATGAGATGGAGCGAAAATTGCGTAAGATTGCCTGCAATTTAATAGACTGTTCCATTCAGGGTTTATGGAAAAGGAAATAAGATCCAACAACTTAGCCGTATACGACTGTGTCGAAATACCCGAGGCACCTGCTCCAAGAGAAATGATCGACATGGAAACTACCTTCGATAAACTTGCAAATGAAGCAAGCGAGGTTAATTCCAGCCTCGAAAACCTTAAGAAAACGTACTTTGAACTCCAAGAAATGAAACATCTTTTACGCAAGACACAAATATTTTTCGAGGAGGTAATTCCATTATACCCTTGTCCTTTACGTCGATTGTAAATATTTCATTATTATGAATCATTTTATTTTCAAACCGTGATTAAAACCCAGTTAGGCGGTATTGAAACGAGAGCTGCACCCATGGGTGCAGCTCTCGCAAAAACAAACCTACTGAAAATAGTGTTAAGAGGGCAGTGTAACTCTCTGCGATTCAGCTTCATTCCTGCTGAGCTTAAGAATAAAACACGGATCAGGATTAAGCTACAAGCACTAGTATTGTTCGGGGATTATCTATAACAATTCGGCCGCGCTGACAATAACTAAGATCTAGTGCAAAGATTGCAGTCCAGTTTTTCCAAAAAAGGTAAACTAAGTGATATATTAGGCGGCAGTTTGCTTGTATCCACGTCCTGGAAAATTTAGCTCACACGCAAGGGAAGGAGTATCGTTTCTCTTGAAAAATAAAATAAGTAATACCTCAGTGGACAAAGGATGGTTCGGGAGAAGTCGAAATTGTACTACCTATAAGTGGTGATAAAGTGGTTTACCGCAGAGAAAACGGATAATGTACAGGACATTTTTTAAATAACCGGAAGATTCGTGAGTCCTAAGAAATAGAAAACGCCCGCAAGAATTTATTTCATGATAGTTTCAAGTGTACATTCTTAGCAAAATTCCTACAGAAACCAAAATGCTTACATATTGAAACATTCGTACAGAATGTAGATTCTTTTAGCAAGTTTAAGGATAGGCAGAGCGACCCCGTAAACGGAAATTCCGTTGAACGTTTTACAGTTGTTCTTTATGTAGCTTGTTTACTTGTTTCAGTTTACTGTGCCGATAATGAAATCACCACTGAGGAAGCGGAGTCCATTAATGTCATCCTTCTTCATTCTTATAAACCTATTGGATGATCTTAAGGGGCACTTTTTGCATTCAGTCTGAAGCTAGAGGATTGTTTAAAACATAAATTGCCATTATAACTGAAGTGAAAATCGACACACGAAGTTTCAGTACCGCTGAATACACAAAGGCCAAAAACATCTCGATGGGGCCTCCTCAGCAGAATTTTCTACAAAATTCATGCTATAGTACAAAACGAACTACGCAATAAAGCGTACTCAGGGACAGGAGCGCCTACCTTCAGTTCGTTATCATTATCCGGGTGAAGATCCTTTGGCTGACTCTGAATTTAATTGCAAGTTGGAGACTATGAACACAAAAGGACATTGAAACTGCAAGTATAAGGACGTTAACTAAATACTCTTTAGTACCCACTGGGTTGTCTGCTTCCTCCCTACTGTTAGTTGATACCTCTAGATACTGAACAGCCCGAACTGATGTGAAGCACGAGTACGTTTTGCAGCTGGGACAAATATCGGGTGTTCAATCACCCGATTGGTTACAAAGTAGGATTTAGCAAAAACGCAACTACCTTCCAACCGCTGCGATTAAGGCCAAAGTGCTCGTTACCTTTTCACAACGCTTTGAAAACCAACATCATCTTTATGTCATATTAAAACGCCGCTACCTTAACGCGACTTTTTTAATGCTTTTTTACTGCATGTACGACGCTTGCCCTGTCGGTTAACCTGAAACTTCATTCAGACGAATTTTTTGAAAATGTTAAGTGTCATCAAGAGCTGCAGCCATGCATTCCAGTTATGCTGATTTACACGTTGGACCGCGTGCTCTGCTATGGGCGATTTTAAGATGGGGTGCGGAGGTGCTCAACAGGGCCCTTTGTCCTATAAATCATGACACTTTTTGGTTAACAGCACTCCTTATGCTTTTGCAATTAGCATTTTTTCATATCAACCGATTCTCCTAATGCGTCTGGTGCCTTTCTACTACTAGGCGCAAAATGCGCCATCCTTTTCAGTTGAAGAAGGCGTAAGCCTTCTTGACGAAGAGGGTGGCAGAACTGGTGGAGCTGAGATGCGCTTAGGGTTCGCTTGTCGTTGTATTGTGTTTTGTCTCACCATCGTACGAATTTTTGTGTGGCGAGGACACCTGCCTTCATTTTTTAATTCATGAAATAATGCGCCGCTGTTCAGGTCACTATGCTACGTATCGTCCCCCTATTTGTGTGTCCTCCTTTTATATACTCGTCGTTCGTTTCATCGGGCTGTCTTCTTGTTGTTCTGCTACAATATCACCGGCAAAGTTTCGTACATGCCATCAGTGTGAATTTCTACTTTATGTCGGATAAGTTGATTTAGCTCCTTCCGCCTGACAATAAGCTGCTGTTTTGCAGTTCTTAGAGTCACCAGCAGGATTTTTACTAGTTTTTCAGCCCCTTGATTCTTTACCATGCGCGTGAATTTAATAGTCCACACTTCCGGACAGATTTGGTATGTCGACAGTTCAGATTAGTAGCATTTCCGGTGCTCGCATGCTCTTCTTTTCTGAATGTACTAGCTTGTCCAAACTCCGTCTGGGGAGTCCAATTAGACCAAATCTGAACAAATTTGTAGAAATCCAGAGGGAAACAACTATTCTGGCCTTAGTTTATTATGCACATGGACGTCACGGTGGATAAGTTTATTTCTAACGGAAAGCTGGACGCCGTCCTACGGCCTTAATTTTGTATCCGACAGCCAACCCATTCTCTCCTCATCTTAGCATGTAGGTCTCTTCCAGCATGTTACCAATGAGGGGACTAAAACCCATTCATTGCATCCCTCCCGCTGACGCCATATCCAGTGTTGTTTACTCTTTTTTCTTCTCGTTTGTGTCTGCCAGCTATTATTTTTATTCTTTGTTGATTTCAGCTCGACGGCCGGTGTCATCCATCGCGAGAAGTTACCGGCGTTCGAACGGATGCTTTGGCGTGCATGCAGCGGTAACGTATTCTTAAAGCAGGCGGAAATTGAGCTACCACTGGAGGATCCGTTGACTGTACGGCATCTTTTTACGCATTGATGCTTTTCTCATTCCTTAATCGGGCAGCCTTACTTTTTTTTATTTTATCCAACTGCAAGGAATTGAGCTATTGCTGGTTTTATTTTTCTCTGGCGTAGTACACTTGGCATGTCGATGTACTTACGATAATTTACAGTTAGTTCTTTTTACTTATCATGAAAATCCCATCACAGTCGACAACATAGTCGGCTTAGCTTCCTGCTTTTTACGAAAGTAGTTTTAAAGGGGGTTTTCGCAGACCTAAACAGAAAACAAGTTCATTTTGATGCTTCAGTGGTGTATTCATTCGTTCAGAGTCAAAGAAACAACCTAAAGGCTACATATTACGCATAAAAAGTTTACATTTCTTCGGAAACAGACTACAATGTTGTGATTATTGACGTATACATAAACGCATACAATTCTCAGCACTCCACCTTTATTACCCAAACTTTCGGTTTTAGAACTGCTGCCTTTTCATTTGTTTCGTTCTTTTTTCCTTTACAGGGCGAGAAGGTTTACAAGGTTGTTTTCATAGTTTTCTACCAAGGGGAGCAGTTACGGATCCGAGTGAGGAAAATTTGCGAAGGGTGAGAACTCCGTCTTGAATTCACAAATTATGTTCCACACTCTCAAACGTTTTTGGGACTTGCCTCTCTCTCTCTCTCTCTCTCTCTCTCTCTCTCTCTCCCTCTTACTGCCCACATTATAGCCTCCCGAGAAGGAATTTGCATCGTGGGCGTAACAGCTTCATAGCCATGGAGCTCAGCAGTTTTCCTCTTAGCAGAACGACCTAACTCTGTTGTTCAGAGAAAAAATATTTTTGGAGAATGTGAATTTTTCTGTGCTTTAGAAAAAAGTAGAGACGTTTGTATCACAGTTTAGCCAAATCCTATTCACTTGGAAACCTGACGTATAATAGACCTACCAACACACGAAATCTCATGCATTTCACTTAAAAATTCCTACTACGCAAAATCAGCGCACGCTGTCTCCCCCCAAATTCTTACGGCAGTAAGAAACGACCGTTCTTAAAAGGAAGGCATGGCGTAGTTTATAAACAAATATTTACTAAAATAAAAGTAATTACCTTTCACTAATAACTCGAATTTCAGATAAGAGCTATATTACAAATCAGTGTATAGGTGCTCGAGGAAGAGCAGCGCATGAAAAGCGGAAAATAATTAAAAATACAAAATATCAGTAATTTGTTGGCTGTCCATTTGCATTTCAAACAACATAGATTCTGTCAGAAACAGAGTTAACAATGTTTGTCTATAGTGATTTGTTCACTACGATTATTTCATGAAACTCAATACTTCTATGCCCTGGGTCACTTCCAGTCACTACGGGAATAAAAATATCTTGGAGGAGGAGGGGCGTATGCGGAAGGGTTGGCTGTTGTCTATGAATCAATTCAATAAACAAAATTAGCAACCCTAAATGTCTGCCATATTAGCATGTCAAATTCTTCGCTCTCCATGAGTGCTCTACGCACTTGATACTATCCTTCACTTTGTAAGTTTCCAGCTGGTTAGGTCACTCCCCCCAGCACACCACTATAGCCTCAGCCATGACGCCTGAGGCACAACGCAGTAATCGACTTTTGCGTAGTTAGTTATCATGCTTCATAATCATCAACCTAAAAAGCCTCTTCTTGTTAACCAACATTTTTTTACCTGGGATGTTGCCAGTAATGGGTGTGTAATTCAGATATTTTTTGTAGTCTTTTGCTCTTTTGCTTGCTATCGTGTAAGATTTTCAGCACTGCACCCATCCCATCTCAGGCGACCGATTAAGTAGGCGGTGGCCTGTTGTTGGCTGTGGAGGAGAGAGTGAGGTCGACCCTCACCTTGGAAATAGCGCGGTCCACTAAAAGCCGTGGCGTTCAGGACTACCAACTGACGGGATAACTTGGACATTGCAGTTGGCCCAGTGTGTGTCTTGTCGTGTGGAGTGTCTAACTGCGGGCTGAGAGTCAGGCTCAATGGCTCCTTCTTAATGTAGCCTTTATGGCGCTCCCAGGCGGGAGCCTACCCAGTGGGGTGTGCTATTGGTACGTGTGTTGAGTGTTAGTCGCGCCAGCCACCTGCGTCCTCCCGCGTTCCCGATCTTCTTGACTTTTGTCTTGACATCAGATCCGGTGTGGGAGTGGTGAAAGAGTGGGGCAGATTCTCCGCGAGTCTACCTTCATTATAATCCAGCGGAAGTCACCGCACTTGTCTTCAACTCCTTGAAGTTCCTGGTGGACATAGTCGAAATCGACGGTCGAACTGTCGTGTTACCTTACGATCTTCCAGTTTCCTCAGTGGAAGGCAAACTCACATCGTCCGCCTCCCTTTTTGACCGTAAAAATTAGCATAGCTAACAGAAGGCCACTCTCACGTAATTTGAAATAGTTTTGTTGACAGCTGACAGCGTGAACTTGTAACTCAAGTGGTTGGCTGTTGACCTCTTCTAAAAGGTTCTGCGAATATTGCCATGTCAAGTCGGCAAACACAGGTGTTTGGTTATTCTTAATCAGGCCTGTTAAATTACATAGAGAACGAACGAACGTAAGTGAGGTTGATGATGTTAAAAAGTGCAGCCTAGTCAATACTCGTCATTTCCACGCCGTCGACATGGTGAGTTCAGCGTGTTGTTATCATTGGGGCTGAAGGAGGGCGTGAGACTTGTTTGTAGGTTGAGAATGAGGACTGAAAATTACTGTCATCGGGGGGTTGGAGGCAACGTTTGAT